AACTGCTAGGTTGGCAGGAGCTGGAACTAGAGACGGGAGCTCACTCCGTCTTGCGGCACCCGGGTCTCGAACTGCTGAACTACTGACCTTCCACAGCCTGCAGTTCAGCGTCTGTATGATAGATGTATGTTCAGTTCAGCGTCAAGTATGATAGCTCCATGATGGCAACCCTGGTCCAGAAAATGTTCCTGCTTGTAAAGCAGCAGCTTTTCCTCATTAATTACCAACAATAAAAACAAAACAGGTATTAGCATTAGTCTTGTGTGAGTTGCTGTAAACCAGATGTTTTGCAGCATGAAACCATTTTTATCAGTTTTATGAATTATTTGCTTCTAGGCTGCTTCTCCCCAGGAACAAAACATCAAAAAAACACAAACCTGTTACTTCTACTTTGCTCCTAAGATACCCTCAATAGAAGTCACAGTTGGCCAGGTCACACAAGGGGTTTCAAGGAAACATGTGTTATCTTTTGTTCTTCCTTTTCTCAGTTTGGTGTAGTGGTTAAGTGCGCGGACTCTAATCTAGGAGAACCGGGTTTGATTCCCCACTCCTCCACTTGCACCTGGTTGGATGACCTTGGGCAAGCCATAGTTCTGGCACAGCTGTCCTTGAAAAAGAGCAGTTTCTGTCAAGAGCTCTCTCAGCCCCACCTACTTCACAGGGTGTCTGTTGTGGGGAGGGGAAGGGAAAGGAGTTTGTAAGCCACTCTGAGACACCTTTGGGTAGTGAAGGGCAGGATATAAATCCAATCTCTTCTTCTTCCTCTTCTTCTTCTTCAAGCAGCAGAGCTTGGTGTATGTATTCCTTTCTGGGAGTATATTTCTCGAATAACAGATTGGCTTGTGCTTTTGAGGAAGATATTTCCTTCTGTCCTTCAGTATCATGCTGTGATCCCCCCCCCCCCCACAAATTTCCCCCCCCCCCCCAAAACTTCAGGCCTGCTCCATCATCGAATACAGAAAAGGTTTGGAAGAAGCAATGGATCATCCCTGTCCTGAAATGTAGCTCATGAAAGTCCTTTTGATTTGAGAGAAAATGTCACTCCTGGGAGAGCTTATGAATCCCGGAAAGAGTTAAAACTAAAAAGAGGATGGAAAGGGGAATACAACAGATGAAGAGGGTAGGTGGGACACTAATAATGGGGTCAGATGAGTATGATGTGACTGCCAGCCTCCCAACTGATTCGGCTTCTCTCGTCTCCTGATTTCTTCCCAACAGCAAACGTGACTTTTGATCTGAACACAGCCCATCCCGTACTCACCTTGTCTGCGGATCGGAAAAGCATAAGAGTGACAGAGAAACCTCAAGATCTGCCCAACAATCCTGAGAGATTCAATGTCTTTGTTTCTGTGCTGGGATGTGAGGGGTTCACTACAGGCAGATATTTCTGGGAAATCATTGTGGGCCGTGAGGAAGAATGGGCTGTGGGGATTGCCAGAAAGTCTGTGAGGAGGAAGGGTGAGATGAACTTTGGTCCTGAGGGAGGGATCTGGGCTGTGGGGAAGGTGGCTGATGGTTATGTGGCATTCCTTCACCCTGAGAGACTTCGTCTTGCCTTGAATGGGGAGCTCAGAAGGATCAGAGTGGCTCTGAACTGTGATGGGGGGCAGGTGGCCTTCTTCAACGCTGACACAACAGCCCTCCTCTACACATTCTCAGGTGCCTCCTTCTCTGGAGAGACCCTCCAGCCCTTCTTTCGGGTGCGTGAAAAAGGCCACCTCAGACTCCCTCTTTAAGGAAGTCACTAATCTTAAAGCAACTGCCGGAGATCTCCTTTTATGGCTCTGCAAAAGGCCTCTCCGGGTTCTCAGTCATCACAACGGATATAACTTTAAATGGATTCTGTTTTCCCCCCTTCATCTCCCAAAGTTCCTTCTTGTCCACCCATTTCTTAAGGAGAAAATACCACGTCTTTTGTATTAAAAGGCTCCATCTGAAACATCTAAAGACTTGGACCTTGTCCCCAATGTCTGGGCTTACTGTACCTTCAGTGCTCCTCAAAGTACGTGCTCTTCCAAATTCTCACTGGCTTGCTTAGCTCCCACATGGAAATGGTCTTGTCAATTTTTAGTTCACTCTCTTGCCTGCCAAGGATAAACTGAATGTTACAAAAAAAGTGGGGGGGATGATAGAATAAAAGACGTTTCAAGCCATTGTCTTAAAAGACTCTCCTCAGTTATTTCAAGGACAGTTTAGGCATTTTGTATTGTTGTTGTTGTTATTGTATTGCGTTGCATTATTATTGTATTAGCGTAAAAACAATAGGCCTTACGATCAGGGCCTGACACATCTTTATTTCCCCCTTCCTTCCCTTTTTTGTGTTTAAAACATATAGCCTGATGAAGACGGGGGGGACCTGAGATCTTGCATACTATTATTTGGGGTTAATCTTAATACAGTATTATGTGGTTTTTGATCTGGACCAACAAGGCTACCAACGCGTTCGTTCCATAGCATGAATCAGCAGTCAGTGAGGAACTGATGTGCTCTCCCAAGTAATTTCTTTGGTGTTAAATGATCAAAAAGGTGGTGCCTGGATTTCACATAGGATGACAACCACTTAGGGCTGTTCTCCTGCCAGGTTTATGGAATATAGATCAGGGGTCCTGAACCTTTTTGAGTCTGTGGGCACCTGTGGAATTCTGACGAAGCGTGGTGGGAGCAGCCACAAAATGACTGTCATAAAAATGGCTGCTGCAAGAGGTAAAGCCAATTACCACATGGTTTCCCCCGCTTACCTTTGGTCATACAGTGAAGATCTTTGTGCTGTGGTGGCAGCTGCTGCCAAAAGCAACCTAAAGCAGTTTAGAAAGTGCTCTTTAGAGGGCAGCACGTAGCTGCTTTTTACATAATAAAACAATGTAAGTTAGAAAGGAAGAAAGAGCAGGAAAAAGTTGCAGAAAAAAATATGAAAAGTGTAAGGCCTCATTTGATGAAACCTTGAGCGAAATGGTCTATCGAATGCTGTACCAGCAGAGAAAGACTTGAGACCAATTTATTTCAAAGGAAACAGCTAATGGTTTGTTACACTCACTGGATAATTAAAGAGGATATATTTTTCCCTAAACATGACTTCGTTATCATATCACGGTTGTTCTCATCTGGAGGTTGGCACCTCTATTTTACAGCCCGGCCCACCAAAGTCCCATTTATGTCTGATTCAGCCCTCATAACAAATGAGTTCAACATGCCTTGTCTAGGGTATCAGAAGCACCTTGCAGAGGTAGGTTGATGTCTTCATGATACAGGGAAGGGCCAAGCGAGCATGCGAAGTATGGTCTTCCAGACTCCTCAAGAGAGAATGCAGGACTCTCGAACAGGGGTCCCCCATTTCTTGGTGTCTTCAGGTGCCTTTGGAATTCTGACAGAGTGTGGTGGGTGCAGCTACAAAATGGCTGCCACAAAATGGCTGCTGCAGGAGGTGGAGCCAGTAACAAAATGGATGCTGCAGCTTACCTTCAATGACAGTTTAAGATCCTTGTTCTGTGGCAGCAGCTGCTACCAAAGCAAAATTTAAAGAAATTGCACAGCTAATTGAGTTTCTGGTAGCCAATCGGAAGCTTTGCTGGGCAAAAGCCCCATCTGGCCCCACCCACTTCCTAAAAACACTTGGTGGGGGCTAGGAAAGGGGTAGGCAGGTGCCATGGTGCCCAGAGGCACCATGATGGGGACTCCTGTTTGGCAATTCTCTAGCATTTCATAGATGAAAATGGGGACTCCCTAACCTATTAGCCGCTCCCAAACCCTCACCCCAAGGAGTGATGTCTGAATGCTGTCCCTTCCCTGTCATTGCCCATGTTCAGGACTGTTCTGTGTCTCCTGAATATTGTGTTCATTTACACTGTAACAGTTGCAAGAGGATGGGAGGGAACATCTCAAAGATGCTGATAAATCCTTTTATTCCCCAAACCCAAAAATAATATAACAAAAATATAATAACAAATAACAAAAACATAACAATATCCACAAAAATAATATGAAAAGTTAAAATACAAAAGAATGGCGTATTATGCCTGAATTAGAGGACAAAAATGTACACATTTTAAAATAGAGTAACTACCCTTTAAAAAAACCCAACTGCCCTCTTGGGTTTTTAGTGGTTTTCTCTCTTGGGTTTTTAGTGGGGGGTTTTTTCCCTTTCACCGTAGTTTATAAATAAATCCATCTTGAACATTTAGCGTTTCTTAGTCCATGTACGGTAACAATCTTTGTTTTAAGACATTGAACATCACTTTACTGGCAGGAGAAATTTTTGTAGTTTATAGAAAATGCAGTAAAAAATATCCCTTCGGGTGTGATTAAAAAACAAACAAACCCAACTGCCCCCCTTTCTTTCCTCCACTTTTTAAAAATATAGATTTTATTTAATGTCTTCTCAAAGCACAATACCACCAATATCAAAAAAGGCTCATAAAAATACATAGTTTGTTGACAGCGTGTGGAGAAACATAAAAAATAGGCACTTAAACACATCAACAAAGGATCTAACAGTACAGTCTTTTTGTAACTATTTAAAATTGCTCTTAATATCCAGGCTAAAGAAACAAAGACTAAGAAAACAGTCATGAGAGTCTGACCCACAAATCAAGGTAGTCAACAAGACTTACAAAAAAATTTCTTCTATATATTGCTACCAATAAACACTACATAACAACAATGAACAAATTCCATCAAATCATAAGAAAATCCTTGTATAAGAACAAATCAACTATGTACAACATCTCCAGATTTTATAACAAAGTTTCAAAAACTGGATCTTCCTCAGGAAATATTCTATACAGTGGCACGAAAGCTTTCATGCTCATATAGTGCTATCACAGAACCAGGAACAATATAATGCATTTAGCAGTAGGATGCTGATCTCAAAGCTATTCAGGCCGCAAACTTGCGACTCAGTTTCTGACAGAAATTCATAGCTGGTTCTGCAGGCTCCACAGTTACATCCTAGTCTTCCTCTTGAACAACTAGGACCTTCAGGGTCCAAGATTCACATTTCCAAATGCGCCCTTGTAGATCACCTATAGAAATCCAATCCTGGGACTCATCCAGAGAGGCACAAATCATGGCCCCCTTGAGAGTCTGTCTCATCTCTGGCAAAAACAATATTGTCTTGACCACCTTTTCTCACATGCCTTTCAACACATCTGACCTCAGGAGCTGGCAAACGGGTACCCCTAAACTCCAAGATGATCCAGAAATTTTGGGCCGAAGATTCGGGGTTATTTTTGCTTCTCATGACCCGGAGTATAGTGATTGCATTCAATTGTTGGAAGTTCTTTTAACTAATGATGCGAAAGTTCAAGTGTTACAGCATGCTGACAAGTTTTAAGCAGACAATCCAGATGTAGACATTAATGCAGTGCTGGCTACAGATCCCAAGTGAGATTACAATACTGATGTGGGACTGCGCGTGTTGAAGGCGATGAGACAGGCAATTTTGGAAGGTCTTGTGAAGGCTGGAGGTAAGACTTGGAATGGGTGAAAAGTTTCCACTGTGGTTCAGGGGCTTGATGAACACCCATACGACTATAGTTAGAGGTTGCGTAAGGCATTTATATGTCATGGAGGTTTGGACTTCTCTCAAATTCTTAACATTCCTTCCACCAATTTTCATTCCATTTTAATCTAAATCTAACCCAGCTTTTCTCATGATATGTTCTGCATAGAGATTGAAGAGACAGGGAGATAAAATACATCCTTGTCTGCAATGTTCCCTCTAAGCTGTGGAGTCTTGTGAGCAAAAATTCTACTTTGTGAGCTACTGGCATTAAAGTTGTGAGCGAGCGATTTGGCTGCTGCATAAATCAGTTTGCTTTGGAGCCCTCCTTCCTGAGCTAAGACAAAAATGTGTGAGCCAGAGGCTAAAAATCTGTGAGCTGGCTCACACTAACTCAGCTTAGAGGGAACTATGCTTGTCTGACACCTTTGCGAGTTGAAAACCATTCTGTTTCTCCATATCGTCCTAACAATAGCCCCTTGTCCAGAGCATAGGTAGTGCGTCAAAACAATGAGATGTTGTAGCACAGCCATTTCTTTTAACACCAAACGTAGCTTTACATGATCCACAGAGTCAAAAAGTTTGCTGAAATCTATGAAACACAAGGTGATTTTCTTTTGAAATTCCCTCGTATGCTCCAGTAACAAATGTAGATTTGCAATATGATCTCTTGTGCCTCTTCCCTTTCTGAATGTTCCCTTTTTAAATCCATCTTGAACATTCAGCATTTCTTAGTCCATGTACGGTACCAATCTTTGTTTTAAGACACTGAACATCACTTTACTGGCAGGAGAAATTAATGTAATGATCTGATAGTTGCTGCAGTCCTTTATCTCTTTTTTAGAAATTGGAATGCAGATTGAACATTTTCAGTTTGTGGGCCGTTGTTTTGTTTTCCATATTAGTTGGCATAATTTTGTTTAGATGTTGATGGGCTGTGGCTTGAAAGAGCTCTGTGGATATTCCATCTACACATGGTGATTTGTGTCTCCCAAATGCTCTCAGTACAGCTTACACTTCACTTTTTAAAACTGTAGGTTCTTCTTCAAAAGATTCTTCTTGGAAGGATCTGTCATCCTTTTATCTTGTCTGTATAGTTGTTCAAGGAGCTGCGGTGGCTCAAGTGGTTAAGGTTAGCTGAACTGCAGGCTGTGGAAGGTCAGTAGTTCAGCAGTTCGAGACCCGGGTGCCGCAAGATGGGGTGAGCTCCTGTCTCTAGTTCCAGTTCCTGCCAACCTAGCAGTTCGAAAGCAAGAAATTGCAAGTAGATAAATAGGTACCACTTCGGTGGGAAGGTAACAGCATTCCGTGCACCTTGGTGTTTAGTCATGCCGGCCACATGACCACGGAAACGTCTTCGGACAGCGCTGGCTCTTCGGCTTTGAAACGGAGATGAGCACCGCAACCCTAGAGTTCGATTCGACTGGCTTTCGAGCAAGGGAACCTTTACCTTTTTATAGTTGTTCAGCATATTGTTCCCATATTTTCTTTATTTTGTCCTATTCAGTTAACATATTTCTGAGTTGAACTTTCAGCATGCCTAACCTTTAAATTTCCCTCTGATTTCATGGATCTTCTGGAACAGATCTCTTATTCTTTTTTTCATGATTCTCTTCTACTTCTTTACACTGTTGATTATAATAGTTCTCTTTGTCTCTGCATGTGAGTCACTGGAATGCTGCATTTTGATTTCAGAATCTATTTCTGTCAAGTTTTACTTATTAGCAGTAGTGCTAGTATTTATCAGATTTCCCCCCACTTCCTCTTCCCAGAACAAGAATACCCAATAAAAACAATACAAAAGATACTATAAATACTATAAATACTATCCCCATTAAAATCTATCCACTATCAAGCATGGTAGGATGCATGGATGGTGAAGACATAGCTGGAGCATAGCAGCTGCCTGGGGTGGATCACAGTCACCCAAAGG